ATTATGGTCGGTAGGTGATGCTATTATAAAGAAGTCAGTCACTTTCCTCATCTAAGTCTGTTTTTTCCAGTCAGGAAGATTTAGCTCCGCCCACCATGAAGAACACCTGAGCGCTGATTGGTTGCTTTCCACGTCAGTCTTACGTCTTCCCCTTGCAGACAACAACATACCCCAGCACATACTGCTACAAGTTGAATTCTGAGGGCGCAAAATATGGGAGGAAACTGCTGGAGAAAAACACTCTCAGGACACTTACAAGCTTCCCTTTAAAGGATCATATGAAGGATTTAAACTCGCGCGACACCGAAATATTGCCCCGCCATCTGGAAAAAAAAGAGTAACCGTTAAACTGGATTGTGCTGGAGCCAGAAAGGACGGCTCGTCCCTGATACGCTGCTAGCAGTTGGGGTCTACCGAGGGGAGGAAAAATGAGGTTCGCTCAGTTTCTGTTGAAAAACGGCCCGCTAGCTGGGATACCGAAACAAGTGGAAAGGTTTTCCAAGTTTTCTCCTTCCCCCTTATCCATGAAGCAGTTTATTGACTTCGGTAAGCATTAACGGTTGATGTTTTTCTGTAGGTCACATGTACATACAGTAACTGTTACTTATTAGCATAGTCCACATAACTGCATTGGTGTTAAGCTATCATTCACATATGAACTTATATAGACCAAAGCTAACTGTACAAATATGTGTCATGGTTTGGGAGTTTTTGTGTACAGTTTGTTTGTTTAATGTTGCTGTAATTGATGCTAATGTTGCTCATGTGACCACAGGGTCTGCCAATGCATGTGAGAAGACGTCCTTTGTGTTCCTGCGACAGGAGCTTCCTGTCAGGCTGGCCAACATCATGAAGGAAATTGATTACCTCCCTGACAAGCTTCTTGGCACTCCATCTGTAAAGCTCCTGACCAGCTGGTAGGATACCTGGACTCCTGGGTTGTCTGTGTTTAACAGGAAATATCTCATTAAACCTCTGGAGTGCTTTAATATGATCTCATTTTCTTTACTGTGGTTTATTTTTAAACCATTAAAAAATATATATTTCTTGTCAAGGGAGGGATTGCAGAACCAAATAAGTAGTTTCAGGTTAAAGAGGGCGATTACAACCAAAACCCTTTCATTATGATACCTCTAAAAAATCACCCTGGTGCTTTTTATAGTAATAAACCTTTTATAATCATTGCATTATATGATATTTAGTGTATTTTGACACGAGGTTAAATACAAACAGTTGCAAACCTGTTGATTATTAATAAATGTGTTGTCTTACATTTTAATTGGATGCCATTTAGATATTTTCTTGGTTCAGATAAATCTGAAATAGATTAGCGACATATGAAAAAAAGTCTATCTATCCATCCATTTTCTGACATGCTTAATCCCAAGTGGGGTCGCAAGGGGTGCTGGTGCCTATCTCCAGCCTTCTACAGGCGAGAGGCGAGGTACACCCTGAAAAAAGGAATTTTTTGAAAAGGAAAAAAAAAAGAGATACGAATTCATCTATCCAAAGTAGTTTTTTTCCCACATGAAAATATCTGGAAATTATACATTTTTATTACTGAAAAAGGCTTATACACATATTATGTCCTGTTATCCTCACACGGACATTCATTGACTTACATTTATTTACATGGACTAACTCAGACCCTGACAATTTCCAGCATATATCTAAACCTAACCTAAACTCAGTTCCTTCCATCCATTTTCCATCACGCTTATCCAAAGCGGGTGTCTATCTCCAGCTTTCTACGGGTGAGGGGCGAGGTACACCCTGAAAAAAAGTAATTTTTTGGAAGAAGAAAAAAAAAGAGAGAGAGATATGAATTCATCCATCCAAAGTTTTTTTTTTTACCCACATGAAAATATCTGAAAATTATACATTTTTATTACTGAAAAAGGCTTATACAAATATATACACATACATATTATGTCCTGTTATCCTTACACAGACATTCATTGACTTCCATTTATTTATATGGCCTAACTCAGACCCTAACAATTACCAGGATATATCTAAACCTAACCTAAACTCAATTCTTTCCATCCATTTTCCGCCACCCTTATCCAAAGCTGGTGTCTATCGCCAGCTTTCTACGGGCGAGGGGCGGGGTACACCCTGAACAGGTCGCCAGTCCATCGCAAGGCAACATAGAGACAAACGGGACAAACAACCAATCATGCACACACATGAGAATTTAGACAAGCCAATTAATCTAACAGTCATGTTTTTGGACTGTGGGAGGAAACCGGAGTACCCAGAGAGAACCCACGCATGCTCAGGGAGAACATGCTAACTCCATGCAGAAAGAACCCGGGTCGGGAATAGAACCCGAAACCTTTTTGCTGCAAGGCGGCAGCGCTACTCCCTACATTGAGCAGCCCAAAAAAATTTTTTTCTTCAAATTTAACACTTTAATTACTAATATTGTCAAATGATTCTGTTTTAGATGCTTTCTGTAAGTTCTGTATATTTGTTAACTGTAATCTGAGGTTTATATTGCCAAAATATGAAACCATCTCGTGTTTAGTTAAAAGGGACTTTAAAAACAAGTCAGTGTTGCTGGTCACCACCTCTGCATGCTCTATTTACACCAAATAAAAAATTAATGAAGTGTGTACTGTTTGTACTTGTACTTGACGCTGGGAAGCATTCGCTCGAGGCAGCTCTCCTAACCCCTATTCTACCTCTAGGTTTTTTTCTGTTTACATAACTGAATAAGTGCCACAGATACAAACCTTTGTAAACTCGGTTTATTATTATTTTTTTCTCCATGACTGTTAAAATCTTTGCTTTTCTTAAAGCCAATTCACTGATATTTTATGTTAGACTCATGAGGGTGGTCTGTTGCAGCAGAGAACCTTCCTGTTCGCATGGCAGAATATGACTACATATTTCACAAGCTAAAGGTGACTTGAGGGACACGCAGAGTGCATTGAAAGCATAGTAACAAAGCCAGTCACCTCTCACCCAGTTTAGTTTTGTTTTTTTGGACTGACACCGAGTGTGAGAGTGAGCTCAGGCCCATATGATCCTCTGGCCTGGACAAGAAGTCCAAGACATGACAAGCAGCTATTATTAAAGAGGAAATTGGAACACCCATAAAGTGTGTTGTACAAAGTTTTGAATAAGATTCAGCTCTTCCTCTGTTATGGTGATTGTTGACTTTTTTATAAGCTTATATTTAAGTTTTTTTTTTTTGTTTGTGTGTGTATCAAACAGGTATTCCCAGAGTTTGTTGGAACTGGTTGACTTTTTAGAAAAAGATCCGGATGATAAGGACGTGTTAAAAAAGTAAGTTATCTCAACAGACTTTTCATTGCATGATTTTTATTTTTTTTTCCAAGTCAGAAATGAAGAAATGTCAATGTGAATATAAAACTGCACACTACTGCAGCGACAGTCATAGAAGGACAAAAACTGCTCTTTAAAAAACTAAGTTTTAACTCACCAGTTACTGGATGTGGTTTTCCACCCATGCAAGTGGTGCAATTTATTGCAATAGTTATATTTAATTACAGTTTTGGATATTTATTTGATAGAACCAATAGTAGCAAAAAAAAAAAAAAAAAAATCCTAGAGGTTCTTTTAGATTTTAGGACGTGCAAACTAAGGCTGGGCAATATTTCTACCAAATCCAATTACCCGGTAATC